AGGGTTGCAGGTCTTTGTCCAGACTGGAGCCTGCCGCCCTGTATGCACGCCTGGGGAGGAGGGGAGCCAGACCCAGGCTTGGTAGCGAGCTCAGGGGTGCAGTCGGAGAGAGTAGCCCCCTCCCTTGAGTGCTGTGGGAAGAAGGTATATATCCACTCTAAAGACAAAAGACCCTGCGGACACCTGCCACCCAGGCCCGGAGCGGCACTACCCCAGAACTGGGGCTCACGGAGCAGGATCCTTTATGACATCAGGGACTGAATTTAGCCAAGTGCCTGGGAGGTGCAGGAGATGGTGGAGTGGGACAAACTGGCCCTCTGTGTCTGCACGGCACTGTGTGGACAGCCTGAACAGACCAGTGGGAGACATCTGGTCTGGGGAGGAGAGACAGGGGTGTCCCCATTTTTCTCCCCATCGCCAACAAGGTTGGGCTTCAGGGAAGGGACAACGGACCCACAGTGCAGGCAGGACCTGCCTACACCAAACCATGCCCCTTCGTGCCTGGTAAATGCATATCTACAGAAGCGAGACTGACACTGAAGCAGTGTTCCAGACCAGCACCGCAGTCACAGGTTCCAAGGCACCATCAGGTATCAGCACAGTGGTTTTGCATTTTCTGATTTGACTCTTGGTCAGTTCTTATTTTATATAAATTATTTTTTCTTCATTCCTTTGATTACTTCTAATTCTGATTGGTTTATTTAAGCAGATAATTTTTAATCCATTCTTTTTACATCTCTTCTGTATCTCCTTTTTCTTTTTTTTTAATGTTTGTTTGTTTGTTTATTTATTTATTTATTTTGAGAGACAGAAAAAGAGCAGGGGAGGGGCAGAGAGAGAGAGAGGGAGACAGAGAATCCCAAGTAGGCTCCACAGCTGTCAGCACAGAGCCCAATGCGGGGCTCAAACCCATGAACTGTGAGATCATGACCTGAGCCTAAGGCAGACGCTTAACCAATTGAGCCACCCAGGCGCCGCTGTATCACCTTCTCTATTTTCCCTCTCCCCTCCCCCTCTTCTCTCTCTCTGGATTAAGCAGTATAGTTTCTCTGATTCTCTGCCTGGTCAATTTTTTGGTTGCTGTTCTTTTCTTTTTAACCACCCGTCATTTCTCTCTTTGTATGGGATAAGGCTTCTTCCACCACCACAAAATTTTTTCAGAGTTACCACGAACAAATCCAAGCACAAGGTCCAAACTACCATTACAGGTAGCGAGGTAAAGCAACCAGAGTCACAACAACAGAGAGCATGCAACACACTCCAAAAACACCTCCTAGCGCTGTGTTCTGGACAGTGTAATGCACTAAATTTTTAATTGTGCTTGCAGGTGCAGGTCATATAACAAGTTTGTCATAAAGGACAGAAAATCCGCCAAATGATGAAATCTGAAGAATTCTCCTCAAAAGAAATTCCAGGGAAGAAATGGACAGTTTGTGAGAGAATTGATCAAACAGATATAAAACAATAGAAATTGGATCACATTTTGAATAACAGTCATCAGATAATAGACTTGAAAAGAGTAGCAGAGAAATCTATCAAGCAGAGATTAACAAAGAACTAAGAAATAGTCATGACGAATTGAGAAATGCTGCAGATGAGAGAGGTGCAAATAAACTTAGATGCAGTGACAGCAATAGAAGATAAAATTAGGGGGAAAACCCATGAAGCCAAGAAAAAGATGGGAAAATGCTAGATCATGAGGGGAGAATTAGAGAACTATGCCATTCAATGAAACATAATATTCGGTATCCTAGAGTTCCATACAGAGAAAGTAAAGGTTTACTGAACAAATTATAGAGAACTTCCCTAATCTGGAAAAGGAAGTGGACATCCAGGAGGCAAAGAACTCCCTTCTGACCTCTTTAACAAGACACACTACCACAGCATATCATAATGAAACTGGCAAAAGAAAGATAAAGAGGAATTGAAAAGGCTAGGGGACAAATGGGCCTTAACTCAAGAGGAGACATGGAATAGCAGAGGCAGACCTTGTTCCTGAAACTTGGCAGGCTGAGAATGGCAGGAAATAACAATGCTGAACAGGAAAATGAGTGCAGCCAAGAATCCCTTTATCCAGCAAGGCTGTCATTCAGAAATTTGGAAGGAGAGATAAAGGTTTTCCCAGACAGACAAAAGCTTTGTGCTGAGTGTAACCACTAAACTAGTTCTGCAAGAGATCCTAAGAGGACCCCAGAGTGGGAAAAGCAGTAAGAGAGATATCACCACAAGCATAAACCTACAGAATGACACTAAATTCATATCTTTCAGTAAGAACTCTGAATGTAAATGGATTACATGCCCTAGTCAAAAAGACAGGGATATCAGAATGATTTTCAAAAAACAAGATCCATTTTATACGCTGTCTAAAAGAGATCATTTTAGACCTAAGGATTGGCCTCAGATTGAAAGGAGGGATACTGGAAGTCAAAATAAAGCTGTGTAGAAGTCATACTTATATCAAACAAACTAGATTTTTGGTTAAAAAAGCTGTAAACAAGAGATGAAGAAGAGAAGGAAACTGTATTGTAATTATGGGGGTCTATCCATCAAGAAGAGCTAACAATTATAAATGTTTATGTCCCCAACACAGGTTCCCAAATATAGCAATCAATCACAAACGGGCAACCTATTGGTAAGAATATGGTAATTGCAGGAGACTTTTAATAATCTATTTATAGTAATGGGACAGAGATCATCTAGCAGAAAATCAATAAATGGAACAATGCCTTGAATGATACACTGGACCATATTCTGATAGATATTCAGAATTTTTCATCCAAAAAGTATTATCTTCTCAAGTGCAATATGGAACATTCTTCTGGCGACAGAACAGTTACTGGGTCACAAAAAGCCCTCAATAAATATAAAAGAATCAGAGATCATACCATGCATATTTTTCAGATCAAGCAAACACTATGAAACTTGAAATCAATGAAAAAAGTTTGGAAGCCTGGAGGTTAAAGAACATCCTACTGAAGAATAAAAATGTGAATGCTGGTGCAGCCAATTTGGAAAACAGTTTGAGGCCCTTCTCAAAAAATTAAAATAGA